CCCTCTTAGGATGTCTCTCATTCTTGGGTTATCTGTCTGCCCGGGTCCAGGTCTGGGGTTTGGGGTCTCCCTATTGTTGCTTGGGATTGGGGAGGCCTCTCCTGGCCTTCCCTCCTGCTCTGCCAGGGCCCCTGACTTCCTGTCCCAGGGCTCAGTCTTTCTGTTCCCTCCTCCTCTCATCCTCTCAGCCCTCCTGTCTGCCTTCCTTCTTCCTCCCTCCAGGGCTCTCAAAGACTTCGGACCAGGCCTACATTGAGTTTGAGAGCATCGAGGCCATTGTGAAGACGGCCAGCCGCACCAAGTTCTTCATTGAGTTCTACTCCACCTGCCTGGAGGGTCAGAGGCGGGCCCCAGGGCTGGGTGTGGGCCAAGGGGGATGGGAGGCCGGAGGTGCCCACAGCCGTCAGTCCCCTAGTTAGGGGGAAGGGAAGCCGGGAGGTGGCACTCAGTTGGGTGTCCCCCACCCCCACCCCAGAGTACAAGAAGAGCTTCGAGAATGATGCCCAGAGCAGTGACAACATCAACTTCCTCAAGGTGCAGTGGTCCTCGCGCCAGCTGCCCACGGTGAGGCTGCTGGCAGGGCCTGGGCTGGTGGGTGAGGGCACAGAGAGAGGGCTGGCAGAGGCGTTCGGGAGCCTGCCTGGGAGGCTGTGTGTGTGTCTGTGGGGGGCTGGGCTTGAGTGAGGATGAGGGCATGTGCTTTATTTGGGGGTGTGGGACCAAGTTGCAGTTTGTTCATTCATTCATTCAATAAATACTTCTTGAGCCTTTGCTAAATCCTGTGTTGGCCACTGAGGATGCAGAAGATTAATTAGTTACGAGGCTAAGTGCTATGAAGGCCCATGCAGGGCTGTGTCTCCTACACTAAGGACTTGGGATCTTTCCTTGAGAGTTGAGTGGGAGTGAGCATGGACGAGCATGAGGGTGGGGGTGAGTGGTGTCAGGGGCAGGAGGAGCTGGGTGGGGCTTTGTTCCTGACTGGGCCTCTCCGCTCCCCAGCTCAAGCCGATTCTGGCTGACATCGAGTACCTGCAGGACCAGCACCTCCTGCTCACAGTCAAGTCCATGGACGGCTACGAATCCTATGGTGAGGAGCGAGGGGTGCCAGGGACACAGGAAGCCAGACAGGGCCCTGGAAAGGTTTGGCAATCTGCTAGTCTGCCCCGTCTGCCCTTCAGGGGAGTGTGTGGTGGCGCTCAAGTCCATGATTGGCAGCACGGCCCAGCAGTTCCTGACCTTCCTGTCCCACCGCGGCGAGGAGACAGGCAACATCCGTGGCTCCATGAAGGTGCGGGTGCCCACAGAGCGCCTGGGCACCCGTGAGCGACTCTACGGTGGGGGTTCCATTGGGAGGGGTGTAGGGCGTGAGATGGGGTGGTGCGGGCAGGTCTAGGAAGGGAGGACCGGGCGTGTGGGGAGGGCAAGTTAGACTCTCTTGGAATATCTGGAAGTTCTGTAGCCGTGGCTGGGAGTGGGCCTGCCCTGAGGAATAGCTGGGAAGGGGCTGGCAGGCCCAGTGGGTGTCTCTGGGATCTAGGAGCCCAGGTCCCCTCTGAGACTCCTTTCCCTTCCTCCCCCAGAGTGGATCAGCATTGACAAGGATGAGGGGGGAGCAAAGAGTAAAGCCCCCTCTGTGTCCCGAGGCAGCCAGGAGCCCAGGTGAGCTGGGGCTGTGTTGGGAGTCAGGTGAAGAGGTGCCTAGGGGCTTTTGGTCGACCCCTACTTCATCTCTCCTCCCCTCTGCACCCCTGGCAGGTCAGGGAGCCGCAAGCCAGCCCCCGCAGAGGCCTCCTGCCCGCTGTCCAAGTTATTTGAAGAACCAGAAAAACCACCACCAACTGGCAGGCCCCCAGCCCCACCTCGAGCTGCTCCCCGGGAGGAGCCCCAGACCCCCAGGTGAGAGAAGGAACCTGTCATCCCTCCACTTTATCCATCGCTATGCGTGGCTCTCAGGGCCGGCCTGGGGATCTGCTGCTGCTTGGGTGCTCTGCCCCCCCACAGCCGGATGTGCCGGGGCCCTATGCCCGTGGCCACTCTGGCCAGCCAGGCCTCCCTTAGGTGTGGCTCCCTGAGTCAAAGGGAGCACAGTCAGCCTTTCCTCCCAATTCTGCCTTAAAAAATAGAATTAGAAATTGTTTCTGCAGCAGCTCCCTCTATGTAAACAGACTTAGCTTGAGTCTCCTGTTTAGAGAAGGCAGGCGCCTCAGCACGGGATTCCCCTGGGTGCGTTTTATGGAACACTGTCCTACGAGATGGCCCACTGGAAACAGGTTTGTGGTCAAGTGAGTTTGGGAAATAGTAGTTGCTAGATTCTTTGCTTAGATATTCCCAGTGCACATCAGTATTAACAAAAGCTCTGGGCATGTGGACAGAAAGGAAACCCTTTTTCCACTCTGTTGAATATAGTTTCCCAAACTTCATGGGCCAGGAAACTTCTGTTCTGCACAATAACTATTAATATCCTGGGGAACTAATGTTCTGTGGATCATACTTTGGGAAAGTGGGGCTCGCTTTCTAATTATATCCAGTTGTCGCTGGAACTGAATGAAAACTCCTCGGGACAGTGTGGTGCGTTGCACTCATCTTCAGCAGTGAGCAATTACCTGGGTTTTATCCCCAGGCTTGAGGAAAACTAACCTGAATCCCTGAGTAAGATTCCTCGGTAGCTGGGCCTCAGATGCCTCTGGAGGCCTTCCAGATCTGGCCAGTGGTTCTCATTAAAGGCCTTTATTGCCCTGCCTCTGGCACCTGTTTTCACCCTTTAAACTCAGGTTTCACAGTTACAGACAAAGTCACAAACGATCTGAGAATCTCAGCAAGTGAGGCAAGGACGTTTAGAGGTTATCTGTTCAACTCCCCCGTCCCCCTGATTTGAGAGATGAGGACACCAAGGGTCAGGGAGGGAAAGTGACGTGCTCAAGGTCACATTCAAGTGTAGGACCAGGGGCCCACGTCTCCTGAAGCCCAGTCCAGTTCTCCTTCCACTGCACCCACTGCCTCCACTTTGGGTTTCTGGGTCCTGGCTTAGTTATCCCGTTCCCAAACCCAGGTTGAAGCCGGAGGGGGCTCCAGAGCCAGAAGGGGTGGCAGCCCCCCCACCCAAGAACAGCTTCAATAACCCTGCCTACTACGTCCTTGAAGGAGTCCCACACCAGCTGCTGCCCCCAGAGCCACCCTCGTCTGCCAGGGCCCCTGTCCCACCTGCCACCAAGAACAAAGTGGCCATCACAGTGCCTGCTCCACAGCTCGCGCGCCACCGGCCCCCCCGTGTGGGAGAGGGGAGCTCATCAGATGAGGAGTCTGGGGGCACACTGCCTCCTCCAGACTTTCCACCCCCACCTCTGCCAGACTCGGCCATCTTCCTGCCCCCCAGCCTGGATCCTTTGCCAGGGCCAGTGGTCCGGAGCCGCAGTGGGGGTGAGGCCCGTGCTCCACCACCTCCCAAGGCACATCCAAGACCCCCACTGCCCCCAGGCCCCTCGCCCACCAGCACTTTCCTGGGGGAGGTCGCCAGCGGGGATGATCGCTCCTGCTCAGTGCTGCAAATAGCCAAGACGCTGAGTGAGGTGGACTATGCTCCTGCTGCATCTGGCCGCTCAGTGCTCCTGCCAGGCCCTTTGGAGCTGCAGCCACCCCGGGGACTGCCCTCGGACTATGGCCGGCCTCTCAGCTTCCCTCCGCCCCGAATCCGAGAGAGCATCCAGGAGGATCTGGCAGAGGAGGTGTGTGGACCAGGGGTGGCTGGCTGTGTGTACCCAAGGGGTGTGCTTGCCCGTGGACTGTGGTATCCTTTTACTCCACCATTCAACACTCAGTGGTGTGCCCTCTGCCCTGAGCTGGGCACTGGGGAGTTGGGGGACACATGAATCAGCTCAGTCCTTGCCTCACTCCCCCGCAGAGCATGTGGTAGAATGTGGCTGTCCGCAGGTGCTTCAGTGTGGGGGGCCCCTCAATGCTCCCCTGACATACCCTATTCCCTCAGGCTCCGTGCCCGCAGGGCGGGCGGGCCGGCGGGCTGGGCGAGGCTGGCATGGGCGCCTGGTTGCGGGCCATCGGCTTGGAGCGCTATGAGGAGGGCCTGGTGCACAATGGCTGGGACGACCTGGAGTTTCTCAGGTGGGGGCGGGGCTGGAGGCGGATTGGGTGGGTCTGGCCCCGGGGGCAGAGCTAGGGGCCCCCTCCCACCTCTCCCATCTCCCAGCCTCTCTTACCCCTACAGCGACATCACCGAGGAGGACCTGGAGGAGGCTGGGGTGCAGGACCCGGCTCACAAGCGCCTCCTTCTGGACACCCTGCAGCTCAGCAAGTGATGGCCGTGGCACCGCGAAGCGGCGAACTCAGCGCCCCTCCCCCCCGCGAAGACCCAGCCGTGTCCCCCGGAGTATGAGGGGCGGGGCAGTACCTCTCTGCCTATTTATTGGGGATCTGCGTTCCCCACTGCCCAATCACTTGGAATGCCCCAGTTGGGACATCCTGCCCCTCGCCCTTTAGACCCGGGGCTCCGGAGGTCAGTTGCCGTGGTTACCAAGGACCTTGGTTATTCTGGTGCTGTCCTCCCTTTCTGGACCCCTCCTCCCAGCGCCAGGGGTGCCCGTGGGGTCCACTTGGGTACGTCTGGGCCCCCACTTTCACCGCTGTGTCTGCTGCACTCCACCGGCTTGAACCACAGCGGGAGGGGCTGGGCTAGGACCTGTCTACCCCCACTCTGGGGTGTCCGTCCGGAAATGAAGGAATAGCCCGAGGACTGGGCTGGGGTTTATTTAAGCTTTTCTGTGTGGGTTTAGGGAGGGCGGGCACTTTATTATTATTGGGACCGGTTGGGGTGGGGGAGGATCTCTGCCGTAAAGTGCCGGTTTGCTTAGTTCTCACTGTCTCCGGGTCCGTCCCGCCCTGCGCTAGGGATGCGCGGCCGCCGCGGTTCCTCGCCGGTCGCCGGGGGCACCGGGCTCTTGCAGGCAGCCTGTCGGCATCCTGGGTACTCAGAGGATTGCCCGCATGACGTCTTCAATAAATTAAGTTTTATTTGGATTGAGCAAAACTCACCTCAATAAATTACAAGTTTTTCAAAGGAAAAGAACAACAACAAAAAATCAGGAAAGAGGAAACCCCTCTGACCCGTTGCCCTGGCAGCCCCTCCGCCCCAAATGGGCCTACCCTCTGCGCCAGACCGGCTGGGAATGGGAGGGGATAAGAGAGGGACAAATGGGCTGTGGGACCCTCAGGCTGCTGATTATCCCGGTGATCACCGGCCTCCCCACGGGTGGGGTCAGTGCGGGTGGGCCCGCGGCGTGGGTCAGCCGGCTGGTCACCAAGGTGAGGAGTGACCAGCCAGCTGCAGAGCCAGGGGAGGGGGCCCAGCTGTTCCTCCTCGAGGACTCACGTTCGAGCACTTGTATTTGATCCTGGTTCCAAAGAAAGCCAAGCTAGAAGGGGCTCGGGGCTCTCCTGGAGGGGTCCCAGTGAAAACGACCCCACTCTGCTGGGTGGGGGTGGGTGAGGACGAGAGTGGCCCTGACTTGGTCTCCAAAGCTGGGGAGGGCACGCCTAGGGGTCTGACACGGTGGGAGGTGGGAACGGACGGGGACTTCCAGGCAGGCGGCCGGGCTGGGGAGGGACTCTGGCAGGTCCCGGAGGGGCAGGGGCGTCTCTGGGGGCAGGCTCGGAGCCTCCAGAGTCCGGCGGCTAGAAGAGATTGGTCTTCAGGGCGGGGCCGGGCTTCCGGTGGAAGGAGGACAGAACCCCCGAGAAGGGCCCGGGCCCGGGTTCCGCCGGCTGCCAGGCCTTAAGCAGCTCGGCCGCACCCGCGCCGGGCCCGCCGCCCCCACCGCCCGCC